AGAGTGCCATCGTGTGGCCACATGTTAATTACTTCTCTAGGATTAAAGAGTCGACAGCTCTCTCCACTGCGGGTTGGGCTGATCCTGGAGAGAAGCCTAGGCTTAGAAGAGGCCACAGTCCATCCGTCACCACCCCAGTCCCATCCAGTCCAGGTCTTCTCCTCTTTTCTGCCGACTATCCTCTGATCTTGCACTTCAAGCAACGCATGCAAATGGGTGTTTTCCTAGCACCAAAATACATAGAGAAAGATAAACCCCTGGTTCAGTCATCTCTCTAGAAGCCTCACAGAGAGAGAGCAAGGGCCAGCAGATCTATTCTCTTTCTGTGTGTGCAAGTGTGAAGGCCAGAGAATCCTGTTGAGTGTCTTCCTCAGCAACTCTCTATGTCTGAGACAGGATCTCTCATTGGACCCGAAATGCACTGATAGGCTAATCTGACTGGTCGATGTGGCCCTGGGATCTTACTGTGTACGCTTAGCAAGTACTTGTCACCGGTGCATGACGCCGTGCCTGGCTTTTTACACGGGTCCTGGGAATCTGAACTCAGATCTTCCTGGTTGTGCAGCAAGCACTTTACCTATGAGCATCTCCACAACCTTTCCACACAGTACCCCTTCTTAAACTGTGAATCAAAGTAATTGGTACCAGAAGTGGTACCAGAAGTGGCTAGAATTATCTGATCATGTGATTCTTAAGCCTTCTGAACTGGTCTGTTAAAGGATATGGAAGAATTTGGAGCTTGAAGTCACAGACACTTGAGAATCGAATGTGCAGAGCTTACTGGACCATTCTGACAGGAAAGGAGCAGAAACAAGCTTCCAGTGAGAGGCTGCTTTGTGCAGCGGCCACCCCTCCTTCCCCACCATAAGCCCTCCTTCCTTAAGTTGCTCTCTTCACGTGCTTTGCCACAACATTGAGAAAAGTAACTAGCCCATCTAGACGGCCAAGGATGTGAGAATCCTGACAGTATCGACATAGCAGCGCCTGCGTCCAGTCAGATCTGGAGTGGAACGTGATAGGTGGCATGACATGGCTGTTACGCTAGAGTTGTAAACATTAGGACTGGAGACACTACCCAGCAGCCAAGGACACCTGTTGCTCTTGTTGTTGCTTGGGTCGGAAGACCGAAGTTCAAGTCTCAGCACATACATGGTAGCTCAAGTTTTAGGAGACCCAATGCTGTCTTCTCATGTCCACAGGTACCAGGCTTGCACAAAGTAAGCATATATACTGTTTGGTTTCAGACCCCCGGACAAGAGACTGCGGTGCATATGTATATATCAAAGCAAACCTGGCCTCCAGGTTCTCCCAGCATCCCTCAGTCCCTACCCAGCAAACCGTGCCCCAACCCTGAACTTTCCAGCCCAGGGGCTGGGCTGCCCCCCCCCCAGAGGTTCTTTCCTATATAATCAAGACATTTCAGTCTCTCCCTCTATCTCCTTCTCTCTCTACCTGCACACCCTTTCTCTCTTTCCTTCACCCCCCCAACTCCCTGCTGCCTCAGTCCTTGGGGCTAGTGAACTCACTGAAGAGCAGCTTCCCCATAATCTGCATCTAATCTAGCTTGAACCGGCTCAGTTTGCCAGCAGAGAAATAATGTATCATATATCTTCAGGCAAAACACTCAAACACATGAAATCAATAAATCTAAAACAAAACTTTTAATAGCTTATATTGAGTTTCTGCAACTGTCACTTGAAAGTGAGTTGTTATCTGACAGAATGCTGACATCATGGAAAACCCTGACAGCTCAGCTCTGACGTATACATTTCGGACCCACAAGTAAAGGGAAGCCAGCGGCGGCTTTCCCAGGTCCCCTTCCTGGCTTTTGTGTCCTTGCTCCTCACTGGACTCCCCTTAATTCAGTCTCTCACTTGAACTTGGCTGTGACCAGTTCCCTGAGTGTTCTCACTTGAACTTGGCTGTGGCCAGTTCCCTGAGTGTACTCACTTGAACTTGGCTGTGGCCAGTTCCCTGAGGTCCTGCCTCTAGCTCCTTGTGCGATTTCTCTCCTCACTCACCCCTCTCAGCCCAGGCATCCATTTAGAGGCCACTTCCTGGGGCTGGAGAGATTACTCGGTGGCTAAGAACACTGGCTGCTCTTCCAGAGGACGCAAGTTTGATCTTAGCACCTACCTGGTCACAACCAGATAACTACAGGCCCGGGGGATCTGATGCCCTCTCCTGGCTCCGGCCAGTCCTGAATGTTCACAGTGCACAGGCAGATGTGCAGACAAAACCCCATACTCATAAAATAAAGTAATAAACAGAAGTTCCTTCTTGCACTGGATCCCCACACATCTGGGTCCATGCTCCAAGGTTCTGTGCTCCCATTGCATTCCCCACCTTTCCATCACAGTGCTTGCCACTCCAAACCATGAGTTTCTTCCAGGTTGCTCTGCCCCACCTCACAGGCCAGGAACAAGTTGGCGCGGCTCCTTGTCTAAAACCTGCTGTGGTCTAAATATGCCCTTCCGAGATTCATGTTGGACCATAAGACATACAATGATGAGGTGATCTTTTAGGAGGAGACTGGACCAGGAGGTCTCTTGTTTCCTCATCCATGGCTTGGTGCTGCTATAGATGGGGCTGTGAGGGGCTGGAAAGCTCAGTGGTTAAGGATGCTTGCTGCTTTTTCAGAGGACATGAGTCTGGTTCCCAAAACTAACCATTTGTGCCAGGCAGCTCACAGCTGCCTTTAACTCCAGCTCTAAGGATCTGACACTCTCTTCTGGCCTCCGTGGGTGCTGAGTGTGCATGCAAACACTCAAACGCAGCTGCATTCGTATACATAAATAAAAATAAAATATTTAAAAGGGACTGGTGGGACAAAAGCATTCCTTTAGTCTTCTGTCATTTGTCCTATATGGTCACAGCCTTAGAATGTTTACCCCTACAGCATGTGAGAGGGTACAACAGGGACACCTGTTAACAGACCTTGACCAAGCATAGAAAAGGGAGGAGGAGGAGGAGGAAGAGGAGGAAGAGAAGTATCTCATTTAAGAATGGGTCCGTGGAGCCAGGGCTACACAGAGAAACCCTGTCTCAAAAAAAAAAAAAAAAGAATGGGTCCGTGGACTAGCTGTTGAATAAGTGAATGAATGGCCACATCATCTCTGGAGGCATTCATACCTTAAGGACAAAATGAAGGCACGGCCTCCAAGACTAACCACTTACAGAAGCAGTGTTGGCTCCTGAAACCAGTTAAGGTGTCTTGGTCCAGGGTAGTGTGGGCCTGTCATGTCAGGTGGGGGTCCTGGTATGGAGGGGCTGGTGCCCTGGCCACTGTTCTCTCAGAGAGGGGGGTGTCTTAACCTAAAAGAGACCTGGGTCTGGGGTCCTTCAGTGGCAACAAGCCCCGCCCCTCCTATAGCATGGCCACAGCTTCAGAGCCACTGTTGAACTGGCTGTGCTACATAGCACCTTGAGGCTAGAGATCAGCCAAACAATTGTGCATTCAGAACACAAAAGCTTTGGTAAGGTTATGAGGAGGGAAGGGGTGTAGAAAACCATTAAAGATGTCAGCAGAGGAGGATTTGAATGAGACATGGTTAGCAGGAAAGGCAGGCAAGTGTAAATGTATGTGACAAGAAATGAGGGCTGGTCCCTGTCAGGGAAGAGTTTTAAAATGTCCTAAGTATGATCTATTAAGTTTTCTGCATAGTGACATAGTTCCCACTGAGCACTTGGCTGGCAACACGTACCATCCAAAGAATATTCAAGATGTTTTCCTAAATAAAACATCTTTTATCCTAAATAAATCTCTTTTATACAGAAAGACCAAGGGGCTGGATGTAGCTGTTTCCTATCTGTGGCTACCAGTTGGGACTTATGTCCCTACTGTTCTGTGTTCCCCTGGGGAGCTGTTGTGTCCTCCAGGTGTTGCCACAGGGTTGGCCTCCTCAGCAGAAACGCTTCAAACGAAACCTCTGTTCTCTACACTTTGAACCTTGGACTTGTAGTTTCAATCGGGGCTTCCTGTCCCCATGTTTGTTTTCTTTATGGGGGAAATGTAATCTTTCCAGTCCGGGCTGCAAGAGCATGCAAATCAGCTAACAGTGCTGTTTGGTGGAGTTCTCTCTGTATGCAAAACCTCCTGGAATAAATCAGTCATCCCCAAACGGGAGGAGGCCAAGGGGCAGAGCAGGAAAAAGAAAGTGGGACCAGAGAATGGAGCTCTGTTCAAATGGGGTGAAATGCCCCCACACTGGCCTGGGTACCCAGAGGGCCCCCCCCCACATTGACCTCTTTGTCTCTTTTGCTGCCACTAGGTGGCAGCACACACCAGCCCTGTTACTTGGGTATTCAATCTGTACTTGGACTTTGCCAGGCACAGAGTCCAAGGCCCCCAAATTCACTACCTTACTTTTTTTCTGTTCTTCTACTCTGACTCCTCTCTATGGCTCTGTCGGTCTGTGGTTGTCTTGGGGAAGCTCCATTTTTTTTCTAGAATGAGTTCAGTGGGAGGCAGAATCTTGTTAGTTAAGTGTGATCTGTACTAACCCAGGATCCAAGAGCTTTAAAGCACAGGGCCCCTCCGATGCCCCAGCACGAGTGTGTGATGCTAGATGCCAGGATAGGAGAAACAAAAGGAAAAGGGGAGAAAAAGAGGAGAGAGAAAGAGGAGAGAAAGGAAAGGGAAAAGGGGGGAGGAAGGATGGGGAAACAAGAGAAAAGGGGAAGAGGGAGAGAGGGAAGGAAGGGAAAGAAATAAAACTTAAAGCCAGGGCCAGTCAGCTCCTTCCCACAACCCCCAGAGTCAGGGACTGTAAGTAAATGCTTGACTTTTAAATTTTAATAAATAAGTTACTCGCTTTCACCCAAACGCTCCTCAAAGTTTCTGGAGAAATTTCCAGTGGGTTAGAAGCTTCTGCGAAGTTTTGATAAGCAAATGTGGCTGCACTCGCGGGCCATGGTCATTGGCTGATGCTGCAGCCGCCAGATTTTGACACAAATAATCAGATTGAAAATCAGGGAGGGGAACAGAAGAGGGGGAAAAACACAGAAACGAAAAGGAGAAGTGTCTGTGCAGAGACTCATAAAGTTGACAGAGACGAGAACAGTCTCCAGGGACGGCGTGGAGGTTCTCGGCTCTCAGGACTCGGGCAGAACTCAGAAGAAGGACAGCTCCCAGACGGTGAGTACCACCAGACTGGTGCTGGCTGGGCTCCACTCTGGCCGCTGCTGAAAAGTTCCTGTCCTATTTGCCCAAGGCAGGGAGGGTGTCTGCTTCCCTTTACGGTGAAAGGAAGAATAGTGTGATAGTCTCTTCTCTGGATGCAGTGCTCATCACCAGCAGAGAGGAGGAAGGAGTACGGGGCTAGTCTGTGATGCCTCAATATAGGATGGGAATCCTGCTTTTTTCTGGTGAATTTTGAGAAACTTCATTGTATCTGTATTGTATTGTGTATTCTGGCTTCACCCAGATACACAAAGCCAATCTCTGTCCCTCTGCCTCTGTCCCTGTCTCTCTGTCTGTCTCTCTCTCTCTCTCTCTCTCTCTCTCTCTCTCTCTCTCTCTCTCTCACACACACACACACACACACACACACACACACAGAGCACTTTTCTAGGAGCACCAGAGGAGTCCAAATTGTTGTCTCTCTGAGCTAGAGCTGCCCTGTGCCAGGAACTCAGAAGGAATTTGTAGCTCTGATGACCTTCTCAAAAGTTCCTGGAAGCACACGGGAGTCAAACACTCTCTCTTTGGGAATTTACTCAAGGGAAATGACAAGGTGAGGCTGATCAGCCTCTGGGAAGCACAGGATGGTGGAGGGGAGGCGCTGCCAGGGATTCTTGGCTCTTTGAGGATCTGTAGCTCTTTTCACCTAGAGGAAAAGGTGAGTTTGAGTCTTGGGTTTCTTAGAAAACAGGGCTCATTGCAGACATGCCCACAGATGCTGCAGTCCATGACTGGATCTTGAGAAAGCCAGCATCTTTATGAGACTAACTGTGGGGGAAGGAAAGTCACCTCTGGCTGTGGAGTCTGGCAGCCTGGGTGCTGGCAGAGCTATGCCTATCTAGCCACCTGTGCTTGTCCAAGTCCTGCAAAGTCCTCTGTCAGGAGAGGGTTAATGTTTTGATTTAGGGGTCTACCTGTAGAAAGTTCTTTGGGGGAGTCAGGCAGTTTTGGATGATTTAAGTCTGCTAGAATCACTCCAATGGTTCTCACCATTCCCTACACTTCAAAAAATGTGGGTGCAGGTCCCACTAGATGTTCTGGGGAGCAGATAGCTCAAGGTCTCCCTTCACTGGGACACAAAACCTGCTCCTAGGCAGAGATAGCAGATGACTCCTATGTCTGAAGGTGTTGCATTGACTCCTTTCTGGTGGCAATCCTGGCCATGGGGGTGGGGTGGGGTAGCTGCTCTTGGTGTAGACATGCGCAGAGAATGTTTCGTTTGCTCAGTTTTGTTTCCATCGTAGTAAAATATGTCCATAAAATTGATCATTTTTTGCTTTTGAGTTGTGTGGGCATGGGCATAGGATTCAGAGTCTACCACAGACACACACTCCAATCCCCAACTCCTTCTTTCTCTTCTTTTTCAATATGTGTATATATATATCCTTAATTTCTGATCCTTCTGCCTTCTCCTGGCACTGTGTACTGAGCTACAGCCCCAGCCCCTTTCTTCTTTTATTTCATTATTTTTTTAAAAATGTTAATCAAAGGCTTTATATATTTGGTAATGCTCAATAACAATATGCCCACACAATTATAGATATTTCCCAATTAACTAACCTAGATAAAAGTTGTTACCCAGGACTGCTCTCGGTACAAGAGTGGTCATCCGTGGTGCTTCCTACATCTCTCTGTCTCTCGTTATTTTTTTAATCTTTCTGTTTTTAATTTAAGATTACTATCATTAACTAGGCATGGAGGTGCACACCTTTAATCCTAGCACTTGGGAGGCAGAAGCAGGTGGATTTCTGTGAGTTTGAGGCCAGCTTGGTCTACACAGAGAGCTCCCAAACAGCCAGTGTCTCATAAAGAGACTCTGCCTCAAAAGAACTACAAAAAGTCTTATTATTGTTGTTATTGTTGTTTGGTTGGCTTGCGTGTAAGAGAGATGCGGGCTTACATGCCGTGGCATACATGTGGAGGTCAGAGAACAGCTTTATGGAGTCCATTTTCTTTCTGCCCTATGGGTTCTGGGGACTGAACACAACTCACTGGGTGTGCACGGCAAGTGTTTCACCCATTGAAATAGCTCACTGACCCACTTTCTCCCATGTTTGACCAGGCTGACCTAGAACTCTTGGGGACAAGCAAGCCCCCTGACTTCCTCCCGAGTATCCAGGACTAGAGATGCTTGCCCCTATGCCAAGCTCATCTTATGAGCAGTTCATTAGCTACTGAGCAGATTCATCTTGTTCAACCAGGGCAGCCACTGATCCCCGAGGCTGTCTCCTTTTGTGAAACTGATACCCCACACCTATTAACCAATAACTGTTCCCCCTGCTCCCAGCCCCTGCTAACCTCAAATTTACTTCTCTGCAAGCTTGCCTATTCTGTGCAACTAGATGTTTATCCTTCTGTGGCTAGCTCGTCTTGCTCCCCATGTTCATGGGTTCACCATGCCATGCATGCTGGAATTTCCTTCGGTTGGGCATCTGAATCACACTGCGTGCTCTGGCTTGGCTGTACCTTGCTTCTCTATCCTGCCTAGATGAACGCCTGTACCTCTCAGCTCTTGAGGATGGTGCTGTTGTGGATGCAGATGGTCAGGGTCTTTGAACTCTGCTTTGGTGTATACCCGAAGGTCACCACTGACTTTGTTTATGTATTTATTTGGTGGTGCTGGGGATTGAACCCTGGGCCTTGCACATACATGCCAGTCACTGATTTTAGGTTCCCTAAGGTGTCCCAGGCTCCTGGCTATGACTCCGTGACATGGCTCTGCAGCTTGTTTGTTACCTCCTTCCCTTCTGTCCTTACACATAAGGAAGTCCAAAGGGTCCCCTGTAGCTGACCCTGAGAATCAGCCTAGTCTTGCCCAACCCTCCTGAAAAGGGAACCTAACTGGCCAGTGTCTCAGGCAAGGTAGGTCAGTCCCTAGCTGAAGGTCAACAGATTGTACATGGGATTTTAGAGTAAAGGGGAAGTTTAGAAATCTCTTAGCCCAACCGTCTCCTCTGAGAGATAGGAAAACCAAACCCAGGTTAGCGGTGCACGCGGTCATAGAATCAGACTCATCTTTCGTGGGCTGCACCAGGTGTCTGAAGTCTGGAAATCCTGATGAGCCCACTATGCTCAAAACCTGGGAGTGTAGGATGCTACAGCCCTCCAGGCAGCCCCAGCTGTGGTTCTGACTCAGGGACCACTGACTCTTTATGTATGGGGATAGAAGGTTTATGAAGGATGCTGACAAGGGGCCTCTTTCCGGAGGCCAGATACCATCACTGTCTCTGTTTTATGAAGAAATCCGAGTGTCTTTCACAATCTCTGCCCTGAGCTCTTTCTCAGAATGGTCCGTGTGAATCAAAACCGAGTGGTTGTTAATTAACTACATTATAGGTATTTGGTTCCTCTTTCTTTCTTTCTCTTTCTTTCTTTCCTTTTTTTTTTCTTTGCTCAGCTAACAAGGGCCAAAAGAAAGCTCTCTGGGTACACTCGGCTACTACTGTAGGCTTGGGGGGTCTGACCAAGTACTGGCCATCCTGACAGGTTAGGGAAAAGAATGTCCTGGAAGGGAAGGATGGAGCTCTAAGGCAACCCAGTGGGAGGAAGCAAGAAACCCAGGACCTCTTGCTTCCCATGTAAGCATAACGCATTCAATAAGTGCCTATGAATGTAGGAGGGAGGTCCCGGTCCTGCGTTGTTCTAGGTTCAGGTCAGCTGACCTAGCATCGCCTTTAACTGGACCATGGACAAAATGCCCTTTAAAGAAATCTGTTCTTATCTACTGGTTAGGACTGTGTGGGGTCTTTGGGGATCAGCTTCTTTTGATACAATAGTCTATACCAGTGGCTACTGTGAGGAGTGAAGACTGGTGTGCTGGGGATACAGGGTGAGTCCAGTGTCAAATCCAAGTGGGAGAGTAGCCCTGGGCCTGGCTCCATCCTGACTTCGGAGTCAGCATTCTCTCTAAGCCTTGAGATCTCACCCGAAACCCGAGGACACTTCCTACTTCCCTGTACCCAGGAACTCAGTACATGAAGTAGGACAGCCACCATGGCTTGGTTTCCTCTTTGATGTGCTATGTAGTGACTATCTCACTGAGGACCTGACATGAAAGGCCTGGCATAGCCTGAGGCATACAAACCACACTAAATAACTGTTGTTACCCTGCTGTGAATATGGAGGTCCTGGGCCTAGACAGACACATCCACTCTCCCTCCCCCTGCTCAGGATTTAGAGTCCCTCAAGTGAAGGGTTGGGGAGATTCGGGGAAGGGGGGCGCGGGAGGGAGAAGCCCAGGAAGGGAGGAGGTTGGAGAGGAAGGCTGGCTCAGAAAGATAAGGTCGTGGCTGCTATGTGTACCAGGATGAGCAGAGGCTCTTCCAAATCCTTTGGAGAGAACTAAGAATCTGTAAGTGGAACAGACCCAAGAGCCTAAGTCCCATCCTTCATTTTAGAGTTCAGAGTATGGAGGGCCTTGAACTTATGCCAGTTCTCTGGTTCATCCTTAGAGTGCACCTGCTGGGTTGCACCTAGCCTCCCTCCTGGTCCCTTCAGCTCTTCCTCAGTGGGTGGAGATGTCATGTGATGGCTCAACCTAGGTGTCTGCCGGGCACCTTACATGCTCAAGGTCCTTTATTATCCCCAGCAACGACTGACATAGAATCAGGTCCCCCTTCTTAGCTGATCTAGATATAGGCTTCACAGCAAGAAGTACTGGACCTGGCTACCCTGCAACCAGCCCCAACCACTGATACTCCCCAGCAGGGCTCTGGGCCATGGGGCAGGCCGACCTTAGGCCTGTCCTGCCTGGTTTTGCTTCACCCTCTGGGATAGAGGTGACTCAAGCGCCCTTGCCACAAAGCTTAACTCTAAGCTGTCTTTCTAATCTCGCCTCCCACCATGGTCTGAGCTGAGGTCTTATCACCTAGCCCTAGCTGTTGTTCAGAGGCAGCCAAATCCTTTTTCCCGCCTTTGCTAGGCATATCACAGATGCAACCTTCAGTGAGTATCTGGTCCTAGGTGGGTCTGAGACTCCTTCCAGACTTTCTGAGCTTTGGCCTGAACAGTCTGGAGTATGAAGAGGATAAAGAATTCTAGTGGCAGGGGTGGGGGTTCTCTCTGTCTCCATGGAAGCACTGCAGACTAGAACAGGGATAGGAGCCATTAGTGAGAGAGCAATCCGTATGCTGTCCTAGAGGACTACTCAGCAGGAGACATCTAGAGAGGCCCGCATACTTCCCACCTTGGGAACTGGGCGGGTCCTTTGACTCATTTGGGTCTCCAGTTCTCTCCTGGTTCCTGACTAAGAAGTTAAGTGATGATGCCCGCCACTGAGTTGATGGGCATTCACGTCTCTATCTCCATCGACAAGGATACTGAAGCTCCAAATGAAGTGGCAGGGTCTCCTCAGGCCTCTTTCCATGATTAACAGACAGAAATCCCCACCGTTTCTGGAGAGTGGACTGCAGACTGAAGTCTCTGACTGCAGCAGCTCCCCCTGCAGGGCAATCCAGTGAAGTCTCTACTTGCCTCACTAGCCTCAAGTCCCTTTAAGCACCGCCCACCCCCACACCCTCTACTACAGATGGGCAGTGAGAACCTGGGATGCTCACCAGCATTCCAGGCTGGATAGCACACCTTAAAGGAAGGGAAACTAGCTCAGGGAGGTGAGGAGTCTGCCCCAATTGAACAATGGGCTGAGCTCTCCTGAGGAGCTTGGGGGGAGGAGTATTGTTGTTTGTTTTGTTTTGCTTTGTTGGAACAAGGTCTCACTATGCTTGTCCTGGCTGCACTGGAACAGGTTCTATAGACCAGACTGGTCTTGAACTCAGGGAGATCTAACTGCCTCTGCCTTCAGAGTGCGGGACTAAAGGCGTGCACTACCACACCTGGCTTCTCCATGAGCGGTTTATCTAAAACGCTAAGCTCAGTTTGTGTAGTCCCTTAAGTGTGTCGAACTGAGCCTCAAGGACAACTTTTTAAATTTGTTGTTTGAGGCAGGGTTTCCTATAACCTAGGCTGGCCCTGAACTCGTATGTAGCTGAGGATGACTTTGAACTCTGGCTTCCCCTGCCTCCACTTCCCAAGAGCTGAGTTGCAAGAATGCACTGTCATAACTGGTCTTATGCAGTGCTGGGGATGCAGCATGCAGCACTCCACCAACAGACTGAGCTCCAGCCCCTCAAGTGTGACTAACTGGGGTCCGCATGTACCTGCTTCAGGGACCCCAGGTCCTCTCTCCCTTCTCTTTCCCAATGCAGTCCAGACTGACTCAAGTTTCTTAAGCATGAGTATACTCTGCCTGTGACTAATTCACCATTCTGGGGGGCCAGATGGTCAAAGTTAAAGTGTCAGTAAGTGTGGTTCCTTCTGGGAGTTTCGAGAAGATCAGTTCATGGATCTCTCTGAGCTCTTGGTACCAAGAAGCAGCCCTTAGCATCCTGAGTCTTAAAGAGTCGTAACTCTAATCCCTGTTTCTGGCACACAAGCAACTCCCCCTGCACCTAGCTTTCCTTCTTCTTGTAGGGAGGCACACTGGTCATTTGGGGATCAAGGCACATCTGAACTTCATGTGATATTCACAGGTGTCAGGTGAATGTGAGCATTTGGGGAACAGTATACAAAGCAGCATGGAGTAGCATGCCTTTGATCCAAAGGAATAGTGGTCGCTCTTAGCTATTCCTATTTCCCCACCCCAGCAGGTGTGGCGCACACTCTGAAAGATGCCACGGTCCTTTCTAGTGAAGAGCAAGAAGGCACACACCTACCACCAGCCCCGAACACAGGGCGATGACCTGGTTTGGCCTCCTGCTATAATTCCTGGTGAGTCTGAGCCTAGGCAATGGCCCACCCCAAGCCCACTTGGCATTGTCTTGATGATGCTGTGGCATCTCTTCTGCATCTCTTAGCTGTCACTGAATGAATGAATGAATGAGTGAGTGAATGAATGAATGAATGAATGAAATAGATACTCATCTCCTCTAGCCTTTGGAGTTCTGGGAACATCAGGCACAGAGCCAGGAAAAGACTATGGCTCCAATTGAAGTCTGAAGTCAGGGTATTCTGGGTTCCCCACCTCTACCTGTCCCGGGCAGAGGTGTGAGCAGCGGAAAACTGGTGTCCCTGGGTCCCCTCTCCCTGGAGATATGGTACTCCTTGCTCTCTGCGGTCATTCCAGAACTGACTCCTGGGTCTTGTCTCCTCACAGTGGCAAAAGAGCATGCCCAGAGTGTCAGCCCTGTCCTCAGCACACCACTTCCGAGCCAGACCTTGGACTGGAACACAGTCAAACAGGAGCAGGAGATGTTGCTGAACCAGAGCCTTCCCAAGATGGCCTCAGCCCCAGGTACCCAGCCAGGGTCTCCACTGTCCCCTACAGGTGCCAGAGAGGAAAGTGGTTGGCTCTGTGGTAGCACTTCTTACGGTCATGAAGTTGGGGAACATCAGTCAGTCACTGGATGCCATCTGGACTTTCAACTTCTGCTGGACACTTCTGGGCAGGCATTTGCTCTAGATGAGGAGTGTGTGTGTGTGTGTGTGTGTGTGTGTGTGTGTGTGTGTGTGTATGTAGCAACTGGGAGGTCCATAGGGCAGTGGCCTGGTGGTCCCCCAAGGGGAGGGAGCTGAAACTGCAGTGAAGACTCACACCAATGAAACACAGTGGGGCTGCACACTGGAACCCTCAACAGGAGGTCACCAGGGGAGAAAGAGCACCAGGGCACCTTACTTCAAAATTAATCACCTGAACTAGGTGTGGTGGTTCACACCTCTAGTCCCAGCACTTGAGAGGCAGAGGCAGGCAGATGTCTGTCAGTTGAAGGACAGCCTGATCTACATAGACAGTTCTAGGACAGCCAAAGCTATATGGAGGACCCTGTTGAGAGAGAGAGAGAGAGAGAGAGAGAGAGAGAGAGAGAGAGAGAGAGAATATGAGAATGAATCCACTGGTGGCCATTAGGAATATTCACTGATCTTCCAAGACCTGAGCACCACAAGGCTTACAGCTGCCTGTGGCTCACCTGTACATACGTGGTACACACACAGCTACACACATACACAGACTCACCTATACACACGTGGTACACACACAGCTACACACATACACAGACTCACCTGTACACACATGGTACACACACAGCTACACACATACACAGACTCACCTGTACACACATGGTACACACACAGCTACACACATACGCATAGAGAGTTGAAGGCAAATCCTTAAAATAAGTCACCTGCATGTGTCTTTGTACAGAGGGGCCTCTCGTGACATCCCAACCCCTGGATGGGGAATCACCACTCTCTGAGTCACCCCCTTTCTACAAGCCCAGCTTCTCTTGGGATACACTGGTCTCCTATAGCCACAGCTACCAACAGACCTCCTCCACCATGCAGTCGGCACTCCTGGAGCGCTCTGTGAGGCTGTACGGCAGCCCCCTCGTGCCCAGCACCGAGTCCCCTTTGGACTTCAGCCTCCACTACTCTCCAGGCATGGACACTTACCACTGTGTCAAGTGCAACAAGGTGAGTGATGGCACAGGTGGCAAGCGGGGCCCTGCCCAGCACCCTTTTGTTCCAGGACACTGGGTCCTGTTATTATTTATGGCTGAGTGGTCCCTATGCTGGGACTCTTGAGGCCATGTTGGATTCAGATCAAGCCCTGACTGTCTTGCCTTTGCTTGACATGTGTAAGTTCTTGGGGATAGAGAGAGGTCAAAACACCCGCCCCAGCCACAAGGAGATATCAGGAACAGCATCTATGTGGTTCTTGTTTGTTTGTTTGTTTGTTTGTGACAAGGCCTTGTGTAGGTCAGGCTGGACCTGAGCTCTCTTTGAAGCTAAGGATGACCTTAAACTCTTCGTCCTTCTCCCTTTGCCTCCTAAGTGTTAGGATTGCAAGTGTGCACCACTACAGCTGGTTTTGCCTGCGTTTATGCAGTGCTAGGGCCCCATGTGCAATACAAGAGCACTCTATCAACAGCTACCTCTCCAGTCCCCGAGACCTAAGATCTGCCCCAGTGGATTACTCGGCCTCCGGGTGGGTATGGAGGGACCTTCTGGCTCCCTCCCGCAGCCCTCATTTTATAGACAGGAAACTGCCATAGAATGGTAGGAGACTCCCTGGGATACACAGCAGAACAGGGGGACTACCAATGAGGTGTCCTTCTCCTGCTCCATCCTGCTCTGGAGCTAGGCCCATGGCTAGGATGACCACAGGCTGGCCTCCTTCCGGGGACTTGACTCTTTGCTCTGCCCCAGGTGTTCTCCACCCCTCATGGGCTAGAAGTGCATGTCCGCCGCTCTCACAGCGGAACCCGGCCCTTTGCCTGTGACATCTGTGGCAAAACCTTTGGCCATGCTGTGAGCTTGGAGCAGCACACTCACGTCCATTCTCAGGTGAGTAACTGACAAAGGCTGAGGGACACAGCCTCACGGGGTTGGGGAGGAGCTGGTTTGAGTCACCTAACATACTGGGTCTGTGATTGGTTGATATGACTTCACATCTAGTTGGAAGAAACTGGGGTTTTAGGGGTGGGAGCTGGGGTATGTCTGAGAGAAACCATTCTATGCTCTGGGTGGCCCCACAGGCATACTCAATTCTTAGAGTTTTAGAGTTCAATTTAAATGCATATCTCACCCCCATCTCTGTCTGTGGGGACCCATTCCTTTCCAGAGAGGTCACACAGGCCAGATGGAAGTGGGTTACCAACACCTGGGGAGGTGGCAACGGTAGTGGGATGTGACCTAGGAGCTTCCATTCCTCAGCTACAGGCAGGGAGCTGGCTCTGTCTTCTACTTGCCAGCCTTCCACAGCCCAGTCAGGTCACAGCTAGACTGCCCCAGTGCACAGATGAGGAAACCGCTACACCAGAAATGGCTCCCCCAAAGCATATGGCTGCTAGGCTGGTGGGCGTTGGCTCTCAGAGCGCTTGCCTAGCATACATGAAACCCTTGGTGTGAGGCCTAACTCCAGATGAACCAGGAATGGCAGTGCCTAAAGCAGCAGGAGGTGGAGGCATGAGGATCAGAAGCTCAAGGTTATCATTACCCACATAATAAGTTCAAGGCCAAACTGGGTTACACAAGAACTTGTCCTAACTAAACTGAGTCAGCATGTCACCAGCTAAGAGGAGCTCACTCTGTGTTACTGGTGAATCCCTGAAAAACTTCAATTAGTTGTTTCATTAGTCAGTCAATAAACACACCCTGAGGCTTATTTTGAGAAGCATACTGTGAAAGGCACAGGGAGATATCTCATAGGAAGCAAGTCAGCTCCCAAGTCTCAGTCTAAACTGAGAAAGCAGGAATAGGGGCGGGGTTCTTCCTGCTCCTCTGGACCCCTGTTCCCGAGGCCACCCCAACGGAGTGTCCTCTTTCTCAGGGCGTCCCAGCCGGGTCCAGTCCTGCGCCCAGCTTGGCTGTCCCGGGCCTCGAGGCCCCACCTGCACCTGACCCCCCAGGGCCTCGTTTCCTCCGGCAGGAGCGTAGCTTCGAGTGCCGGATGTGTGGCAAAGCCTTCAAGCGCTCATCCACCCTGTCCACCCACTTGCTCATCCACTCGGACACTCGGCCCTACCCCTGCCAGTTCTGTGGGAAGCGCTTCCACCAGAAATCAGACATGAAGAAACACACCTACATCCACACAGGTGAGCGTCCATGCTGAGCCTGAGGAAAGGCCCGCCTGGCTTCTAGGCAGCCCATCACTTGCCAAGAGGCCCCCTTGAGGAGGGGCTGGAGGACTGCACAATCACTCAGTGTAAAGAATCACTGGCAGGAAAGCCAAGCCAACAAGGGCCTGAGGGCAGGAGGCCAGCATGCGGGTTCATCCACCCCTTGCCGCTCGCTCACTCTGTCTGCTGGACCTCTGTGCTTCTTTGAGCTAGTCCTTGCACAGCCATGGTGATCTATTGAGAAACAAAGAAGGGCCTGTGCCAGCTTGGACCAGCTGAGAAATCCAGAAATCCAGAGAAAGACTTGTAGCAGTCACCTGACACTTTATTGTGACAAAGACGCCTGACAAAGGCAGCTTAAGAAAAGGGGTTAATTGTGCCTCACAGTTTGAGATGGAGTCCATCAGGGCAGGATGGCCCAGTGGTAGGAGCACGAAGCAGTTGGTCACATTGCTTTAGGAAAGAGAGGGCGGAGTGCTGGTGTGCAGCTTGCTCTCTCCCTTTTCTGCAGTCAGTCCTGGACCCCAGGCTGTGGGACAGTGCCGGCTATTTTTAGCCCTTCAGTTAGCCCAACCAGAAAATCCCTCACAGACGTTTCCAGCAGTGTGTCTCCTGAGTGATCCTAAGTCCCATCAAATGGACAGTGTTGCCTGTCAGAGGGGTATTTTGCTTGTTTGCTTGCTTGCTTATTAAGACAAATTCTCATGTAGCTGAGGCTAGCCTCCTAGTTAATATGTAGCTGAGGCTGACCTCAACTTCAAACTTGCAATTTCTCTGCCTCTACTTCCAGAGTGCTAGGGTTACAGATATACACATTTTTCTTTCCTTCTTTCTTTCCTTCTTTCCTTCTTTCTTTCTTTCTTTCTTTCTTTCCTTCTTTCTTGTTTTGTTGTTTGGTTTTATTTGTTTGTTTGTTTTTGTGACAGGGTTTCTCTGTGTAGCCCTGGCTGTCCTGGAACTCACTCTGTAGACCAGGCTGGCCTCAAACCCAGGAATCTGTCTGCCTCTGCCTCTCAAGGGCTGGGATCAAAGGTGTGGCCACCACACCTGACTATTTCCCCCATTTTCTGAGGTGGGACATAAAAGAAGCACTGTAGAGAATGAGCATGTGCAGGGTGGCGGCTGCCACCACCTGCTGTTTGTCCCTTCCCCAGGTGAGAAGCCCCACAAGTGCCAGGTGTGTGGGAAAGCCTTCAGCCAGAGCTCCAACCTCATCACCCACAGCCGCAAGCACACAGGCTTCAAGCCCTTCAGCTGTGAGCTGTGCACGAAGGGCTTCCAGCGCAAGGTGGACCTGCGACGTCACCGTGAGAGCCAACACAACCTCAAGTGAGACTACTGGCCAGCCTGCTCCAGTGTGTCTCACCTGAAGGCCAGCCTTGTGACTCTAATCCTGGTCCCCAGGCCTCCTGGAAGTAGCCCTGCCCATGAGCCTCTCTGTTTCTTTTGAGACTGGATGACCTGAAGCCAGCCACACTCCTCTGACCGTAGCAAGGTGAATCAGCTCTGGCCTTTCTGAACTGAAGCAGCCACAGATGTACTCTGATCTCATCTGCTGCAAGAGCATAGAAAGCTACAAAACCCTTGTGGACAGGATGGCAAAAACAGGCAAGAGCCAGGATCCACAGAGAAGCCTTCTTGCTTGCTTCTCTGGGTCTGGTGACTGAATTTTTAGGGATTATCTTTCTGGCTGTCACAGTCAGGGTTGTCTCCTGCCCTAGAGGTCTGGCACCCCTCTGCTTCTGTCCCTGTGCTGGCTTTCCCCCACCTCCGACTACATCCATCTGCCCACTGGGAGTCAGGCTCCACAGTCGGGCCACAGGCTGTGAAACCAACCATTGGTGTATTGGAAGCCTGCCCTGTCTGTTGATGTAAATATAAATAAAAATGAACTTGTTTACATGTGACACTGTTTGTAAAGTGCCTACTAGGTCCCCAGGTCGCCTGAGGACTTGAGGGCCTTGACAGGGAACAGACCAACCAAGAAGCGTCATGACAGGTGTCCAGCCCAGGGCTACTTCGAGCAGTTATCAGTGTCCGGCCACAGCTGTAAGAAATCACCACAGACCTCTTTAGTGTTGCCTTCTGAATATGGCAAAGGGAACTTGGCAGGAGTGAATAAGTTAAGCCTCACTAGCTCTGTGACTTCACACGGGGCTCTGAACCTCTGGAGTTTAGCTTCATTGAGCTACGTTGTAATCACAACAGTCCAGTCTTGGTGGGGATATTGGCAGGATTCTGTGAGATTACCCACGGAAAACAGTGCACATGGTAAGCACTACCAAGCCCTCCTCAGCATTCTTGTTGAAAGTCCTACCCCACCAACAAGGTCATGCCAGTGCCATCTCCTCCATGAAGCCTCCCTTGATCATCCCAGCCAGAGATTCTCTCTTCTGGCACTAAGCTAATTGTGTCCCTTGCCCACGATCCGGGAGCTGCTCATAGTCCTCTGTAGACAGTTTTGGCCTTGGTAAAAAGGCATAGACATGAGAGTTTACATACAGTTTCTCCAGTCCATACAACCCTCTACAAGGCACATGACATTGTCCCATTTTACAGATAGGACAACTGAGGTTCACAGAGCCCAGCTTCATGGAGATGAGGTGTTCAGAAAAGAAATTCCCTGGGGACTTGGCTATAGCAATGGTACAGTGCTTGCCTGGTATGTATGCAGCCTTGGGTCAATTCCTAATACCAAAATTCAAAGAATGCCATTGTCTTCGAATAGCTTCTCTACAAAACACAATTTAACCCCATGTGGTGTATATGTGTTTCTGTCTGTATGTGTGTGTGTGTATGTGTGCACTTCTGTGTCTGCGTGTGGGTATGTATGTGTGAGTGTGTGTGTATGTATGTGAGTATGTCTGTGTGTGTGTCAATGTGTGTGTCTCTGTGTCTGTGTGTGAGTGTGTCTATGTGTGTGTCTCTGAGTGTGTGTGAGTGTGTGAGTGTGTGTGAATGTGTGAGTGTGTGTGAATGTGTGTGTGAGTGTGTGAGTGTGTGTGAGTGTGTGAATGTGTGAGTGTGTGAGTGTGTGTGTGTCTATGTGTGTGTCTCTGAATGTGTGTGAGTGTGTGAGTGTATGTGAGTGTGTGTGAATGTGTGAGTGTGTGTGTGTGTGTGTGTGTGTACATACAGAGGATCAAGTTCCAGTCCTGGTACTTGCAAACCAAGCTCTTTACCTACTGAGCCATCAACCCAACCCAACCCAACTGACTTACTTAGGATGTTTGGCCATTGACAACAAAGCCACACTTAGAGTTCGAGGGGTGTGTGTGGGAAATCCTGCACCTCTCATCATGTAAGGCGATAAAGAATGCACACGCATGCACGCGCACACACAACACACACACACACATACACACGCACCCGATTTGCATGTGGTTTGTTTGCTAAACAAAACCAAGACAATATGAGGGTTTCAGCCAGTTCTGCAGTGGGGTGGGGTGGGCCAGGAGAAAGTGAGCAGAGAAGGGAAAGTAGGTGGACATGTTCCTCCAGGCTGGCTGAGGTGGAGGGTGGGTGAGGTCAGGGACAGTCAGCCTGTTTATCCCTTGAGTGCCCTTAATGCAGAAGGGGAAAGGACCACAGTGGCCTCAGAGCAGGGAGCAGGCTGGGTCTCCATTTCATATCACAGGCATGTGCACAGGTACCAGGGCCCAGGTTGGGAAGGCTTTGTGGCCCAGGCTGGGCTGGAGCAGCTCCATGCCCAGAGATAAGTGGGGTTCTGTAGGGTGAGTTTCATACAGGCAGCAGCGCAGGGACTGAGGAAGCCTGGAGGTACCTTACAGACCGGCCTGTGATAGTTTTGTCCGGTGGGGACACACTCGGCTAGCTACAGTCTGTCTCTATCACACCTCACATGGAGGAAGGCCATCAGTGGGTGTGGTGGTCCCCTGCTCATCTACTGGAATTTGGCGGAAGTTAAAGACCCTTTCTCTCTACTTCTGCTGGTGCCTCCTAGCTTCCTATCTGGCCAGGAATTCCCACCGCGTGTATCACTATAGAAGCTGAGAGACACCACCCAGCCCTGTGAAAATCACCTGTCCCCTTCCTTTGTTACAGACTAGACAGGGCAGCCTCACTCAAGGTCACAGGGACGGACGTTTAGGAGCCCTGTCAGAATCCAGCTTTCAAAGGTTTAATCCTCCTGCTGAGGACTCAGGAGCTGCAGGGTGTGGTGGGGAGATGGGAGGTGGGAGAAAGCTGCCAGCCCTAACTCCTCTGTGGAGAGCAGGGGAGGAATGGAGGGGGTGCTGGTGAGGCCATATAGAGCATCAGTCAGCTAGCTACTCGCTGGAGAATAGCCAAACGAACGCTCTCAGGCTGTGGAAATGGCTCAATGCTTAAGAGCTGTTGCTCTTGTGGAGGACCCGAGTTTGACTCCCAGCACCCACAGCAGGTAGCTCACAACTGCTTATAATTCCAGCTTCAGGAAAATCCAGCCTATGGCCTCCAGAGGCACCAGCACTCCCATACACACACACACACACACACACACACACACACACACACACACACACA